CTAGCCTTCTCAGTATTTTCAGCTTCCCTTCTGTTACTACATCTTCATTATGTTATATTTTAGAACAGTTTCCCTTGTCCAGTGGTGATCTAGATGTGCAGTTTGTGGTCCTTCAGTGGACGTGCTCCAGTATGTCCATGTCTGTCTTGTGTTGGGGAGACAGAAATGGATGTTGTGCTCCAGATGAGTCTCACCGGGGCTGAATAGAGGGGGAAAGATCACCTCCCCTGCTATTCTAATGTGGCCCCAACGTAATGATGCAGTTGTGTAAATAGCGTAAAAGCATAAATGTAGAAGTGATATAAAACATACAGTGGTACAGTGCAGGGGCCAGAAGACTCTGAAGTGGGTAGGATTAGCAACAGTGTGATCTGCTTAAAACTGAAAAACCTGTAATTGTATAACCGTATCGCACACACTTTCAATTTGTTGGAGTAAGTTGAGTTTTGCAGACAGTCCTCATGGATGAGGCTGAGAAGGACCCCACCCTGCTGGGGCAGAATGTAAATGATGTTTGTATGCTACCTGGGGTATGGACTTGCAGAAAGAGGCAATTGCTAAGAAAGCAAAGGCGTTGCTTTTTTAAGGTTAAATATAACCAGGTAATTGCACATGGGGTAAGAAAGGACCGTGTTTCATTTGGGGAACAGTGAAATCAACTGGTTTCTAATTTCTTTCAGTTTTTTCTCTGTAGCTGTGGTACAAGCAAGAGCCAACCAATATCATCATCTACCAGTAGGAAATCTCCATGCTAAGTCCTTACCCTTGGCACGTGGTAAAGTTGCAAATGAGCCTGTGAGGAGGAATTGACAGGAAAAATCTAATTCGTGTTCAAAGGTAAATTTTGACCAATGAATGAAGTACAAGCATGAAAGTAAAACATATACTTTTGCTTATGCTGTATATCATTTATCTTCATCCTGTTGGCTTTGCTTTGTACTATTTCTGCAGCAGTGCAGGCAGGGGAGAAGTACGGAGATACCTTTAGCACAACTGTGTTTTGAATGCTGGCTGTCTTAATAGCTTGTCTAGCACCAACTACTCTTGAAATGCCCTTTAATTTGATATTTGTAGAGAACATGGCCTAGAAGGATGGGTTTCACTTTTTCAGGAACAAAAATGTAGGTACAAAATGCAGTAGGGCAGATGTATTTTTGTTAGCCATAGATTTGGCAAGAAAAACTCCCATGCCGGACGTTGCGTCACTTTTCACTTGAGGTAAAACATGATCTGCTTCCTAACATGTTCCTAGGTGATTGTGCCCCACGGACTGTTTAAAAACACAGTAAAAACTGTAGAGTAGCTACCGTATTGGTCATCAATAAATGACCATACAACAAAATAAAATAATAAAACAAAATGTATAAATTACTTGAATATCAGCTCCTCCTTTCTCCTCTTCCGTTTAAAATCAACCTTCTAATTTCCTGTGAAGTTTGAGAGAGGTGCCACCAGCTTGGCTGCTGGGCTCAGCCGTGCCCAGCCATGAGCTGTTGCAGAGCTGGCTGGAACCAGTGGAAACCAGCTAAATCCAGCACGGATCAGCCCCAGCCTCTCCTCACAGAGGCCGCCCCTGCAGCCCTTGCTACCAGACACCCAGTGCAGTGCCACGTGGGTGTGGTACTGGTTTTCTCACAGCAAACTGCTGTCACTGTGCCTCGGGATAGGCAGATCCTGCCAGGAAGAAAACCTGACATCCTCCACTTGTGTGAAAAAATGTCGGTGCTTTTCCATCATGGTTAAGCTGATATTACATCATAACTACTGTAGAAAGCCCTGGAGAGATGGCTGGGGTGGGGGGGATGGGGTGGGGCAGGGCGGGGGCATGGGGAATTGGACATAAAACTAGTGAAGACCTTTGTGTAGCCTGATTGTATTAACTAGTCATCTAATTGCATCTCTCAGAAGCACAACAGGAGTGAAATCATGCCAGACCCTTCCTTTCTGCCTCTCCCAGCTGGGCCTCAGTCAGTCCAAGTGATTATACTGTATATTTGGTACAGTTGTTTCTGACATGGTTTGTGGAGGTGGCTTCTCCACTGGAAATTCAACTATAGAAATACTACAATAGAGGAAGCTAGAAATATGCCTGATACCATGGTTCCTCTGTACCCTTGGCTCCAAAAGACTGACCTTGAGTGTGTCTGAGTGCTTTCTACCAGAGACTTCACTTGAGGCCAAGTGCTCAACTGTCCCAAGGGCCTACTGTGTCTGTTCAAAGACTTATCAATGCTTAGGACCCTAGTTGAAATTGTTCTTCTTTCATGTCACTTGACACAGAGGACTTGCAATCTGACTGTAGCCTAGAATATGCATTCTCCAGAAAACCACAATGCCTAGGAAACCTTGTGTTTCTTACTTTTTAACTAGTGGGAGTATGGCTGTTATATTATGGATCACAGCCGTTGGGATATGATGTCCATCTTGGCATTTTATTCCCTAAAACTGGATCTCTTGTGCAGGTCCTTTGACCTTGCTTTGTTTTATGGTAAAAACAGCTTTCGGAAGGATTTGGTTTATTCCTTTCCCTTTTCTCAAGCACTTCTTTCACTGCATTGCCCCATACGATGGTGCTGTCAATGCACTGTGCCTGTTTGGTGGCTTTACTCTCTCCCTGTGCGGTCTGTATCTAGCCATGGGAATGGTAGTGCTGTGCTTCCATCCCTTCGGCAGTCACTTCCAGGTGTACTGGAGACCCCTCCATATGAAAGGAAACTCTGGCCTACAGTCTGCTGCCAAAGGAATCAAGAAAGACACATAGGTAGTGTTAGTTGTAGCATACCACTTAATGACTGCCTTTGTCTCCAGTTCATATTGGAGTTCTAGCATAGCTGGTACAGCAGCACACAATGATGATGTGACTGTTCAGGCTACAGTAGTCCTCTGTTAGCCTCTACTCACCATCAGACTTCCATGCTGGCCATATGGGACTGTTACAGGGTGAGCGAGTCTTCCTGAACACTCCTTGTCTCTCTTGTCAATTAATCAGCTCATGTATGGGAACCAGAAATTTTCTGTTGGTGTGATACTGTGCTACCTTCATGGTAGCAATCAACACCTGCTGTTCTTCAGCACAAACCCCACAACAGAAGGATCCTCCGAGATGCTGGACAAGGTGGACAGCACAAGGTAGACACAGGCCCACAGGTTTGGGGAGAAAGAGAGATTCTCTTTGAACTACTGGAGCTTGCAGGGCAGTCTGTCCACAGTTGATACCCTGATGTCTGTCCAGTCGTTATCGCCAGGGTGCTGGCATATGGTGTTGGTGTGTTCTATACAAAAGTCTGTAACGTGGACCACATCTGGATTTTGTCCACATCTTTGAAGGACTATTTTTGTCCAGGTTGCTGTAAATCACCTCTACCACCACTCATTTCCTCAGATACTGGACACCCTCCTCGATGGTGGTCTACTTGCCTTGGTAGCTTACATGTCTTCCTTGAGGGGATACCTTGCCTTTACACTCCACAGGAACTGCCTCCAGAGACTGTGGATTGTTGGCCCTTTTCTAGTCCTTTTGCTGATTTCCTGGTCCTTAGCTAGGGATCCAAGCTGCTGGGCTTCTTTACCCTCTGAGTTCTGACTGTGGGCCTCAGTATCCCAGTGGCAGAGCAAGGAGATGATAATTTGCTTGCCTGGCTGACAGCTGTAATCTTGGTGTGATGCAAGCGTTCTGTTTATGCAGAGATGTTTGATAAACCGAAGGGCCATTGCAACAGGACAGGAAACATCTACCCTGGAGGAGGAGGGGCCATTTTTAATTTTCCTACAAAGTTGCTCCTGGAGGAGAAGAGGAGAAAGGTGTAATTGTTAATTGACTCCATGAGATGGTTCCCAGAGTATTGGGATGACAGCAATACACGGTCCAAACACCAGATTAGACTCAAGGCTAGTGTTTTTATCATAGCTCTCGCAGGCAAAGAAAAGCAAAGTGATAACCAACACAAAAATCAGCAAAAGCTGAAAGTGGCCATTACCAAATCCTAGAGTTTGATGTACAAAGCCCTGGAGTTTGTGGACCCCAGCCAGGAACTAAGCACCTACCAGCTGCTCGCTCACTCACCTCACCCCCCAGTGGGACAGAAGAGAGAATCAGAACAGCAAAAGCAAGAAAAAAAAGCTTTTGTGAGGTTCCATTAAAGTGAAGGAAAGGAGGGGGGGTGGGAAGGCAAATGATGCAAAGACAATCACTTGCCACCTCTCACAAACAGGCTGGTGCTGGCCAGTCTCTGAGCAATGGCTACTTTGGAAAGACTCTACTCCAGTTTTACTGCTGAGCATGTTATATGGTCTGGAATATTCCTTTGGTCAGAGGGAGTCATCTGTCCTGGCTGTGTCCTCTCCCAGCCTCTTGTCCACCTCCAGCCTACTCACTGAGGGGGCAGAGTGGGAAACAGAGAAAGCCTTGGGGCTGTATAAGCACTGCTTAGCAATGACTAAAGTATTGATGTGTTATCAACACTGGTTTAGCCACAACTCTAGAAAATGAATGCAAAAAATTAACTCCATCAGACCCAGTACAGTGGAGAAACTGTAAATTACAGAAGTGGTGTTGATAAGGCAAATAAAAGAACAAATACTAAGCTCTGTTATGTACATGTTAGTATTAATAAGGCAAAAGAGCTCTAGGCTAGCCAAACATTTAACTACTTGCTAAACTTCAGTGTATGAGCAGTGACAATATGATGATTGTGCTTTGAATGAGCGGTGCCTGTGTTTAGTGGGATTGGAGTCTTCAAGTTGCAGAATTATTTACAAGCTGCAGACAAGAAAAATCAATAAAAATATGAAATGTTAAGAAAGAGAAAACCTGCTAGTGTGAGTGATCAACAGTTTCTAGGCTAAGGCAGAGAGGGATGACAAATGGTGTTTATTTTAATATGCTGTAACTTGAATGTTTTAGCATTTTTAATAGTCTTGTTTGGGGAAGAGAGGAAAAATGTGGTTTATGTCACTTTCTAGTATATTCTGTATTCCTGTTTCTTTTTTCTCTTTGGCAGATGGATGCCTTCTAGCCAACCCACAAGTCCTACTGCTGCTGCATGTCTGGCAGCACCACTGAATGATCACATGACTCTTGATATGGATGCAGTCCTGTCAGACTTTGTTCGGTCCACAGGGGCAGAACCAGGTCTGGCAAGAGACTTACTGGAAGGTAAGCTTTCAGGACACAAGTATTTCTTATGTTTACTGCTTGCTTAAAGCAAGACCCAGTCATAAAAAGAGAACTCTGGTCTATGGAAACAGATGTTTCTTAGTATTTTGACTAGTAAATCAACTCTTGTAGTAAGGTGACCACAGGTTGTCCTAAGGTAGGTGTTTTCAGCAAAAGCTGTGAAAAGTTCTTAGTGCTCAATTGTGGTATTTTAGGTTATTAACAGTCATGCCTTAATAGTGTATGTGCCAGGGAGAGAGGGGAGAGGCTTTAACTGAATTTTGTCATTTTTGGCTACCTGAAAGCAGTTGCAAATGTTTGAGCTTACTGTGCAAAACGGGTAAGTTTAGACAGAAATGGACGTTCTGTAAAGAGAGAAACCAGAAATATTTTGGGGCCCCAGTGATTAATACACATGCCTGAACTTCATGGCGTGGCAGTCAAATGGCTAGGTTGAAAAACATCTAAGAAGCTGTATAGAAAAATAACTGAGTCTTTTTATTTGTTTTATTGTTGTTGTTTTAAGTTTATGAGCTTAAAAGTGGAAGACACCTTTGATATTTGAAGGCATTTGTAATAGTTGTTTTTGTTCATTTCTTCTGATGTGGGCTAACAACTGTGACGGTGGGAAGGTAGAAACGAGTCGGTGATATTGGTGTAAATTGCAAGGTGGTTCTGTGGCCTTGACACTTACGCACTAGACTTTTTCCCTTAAAGTTTGTGGGTTTTTTTAATATGCTTTAAGAACAGCCACAGCAGATTTAAAAGTATACATGAGGGTATAGATCTCCTTTTTGTAAGAGCAGTTTCACTTTATCATGTGTATGCTGAAAGTCTTAAATTGTGCTATAAGTTCTTTTTTTACACTGGATTTTTCAGTAATGAGGAAGGATATATTATTATCACAGAGGTGCACACAATTTTGCAGTGTTTCCCAAACCACCTGTGTTACATGTAATAAAACCTTAGAATACCTAGCTATGAATATAATCATCAGCATCATTTAAGAGATCTCTGTTTTGTCTGATTTCATCAACATGTCATTCTAGCCTAGAGTCTGTCTTGATCTGTTGATCTTTTTGAAAAAGAATATGAAAAGGTTTTTCTCAGCAATATCTGGACAGATTGTCAGTTATTGTGCTGATAGAGCATTGTCAAAATTTGAGAGTGTTCCCTACATATCAGAGGTGGTTCAGAATAGTGAGCTACCTGGTTTTCCTCGCTATAAAGCATGATGCTTCCAAATAAATATAGGATAGTATTTTTCTGTGTTATACTTCTTATGCCTGTAGATTAATATATTCACACCAAACATGTTAACAAAGAAATAAGCCGTAAGCAATTTAATTATTCTGAACAGGCTAATAGGCATATGCATCTAGCTCAAATTATTTCCTCCTACACAGGAATTTATCAAAGTGAAAGGGATTGTTGCTGGTTCTGGACAAGATGTACTCACAGGAACATTTCAGCACATGTAGTTGTGGCTGCATTTGGTGTCTCAGCGTCTAACACTGGATATATCTTGTGCTGGGGGACAGCAACTGATCCAGTGCTTTCTCATTTGTTTAAAAAAGACGCAGCAGGGACTGCCACCCTTACACCATTATGACTGCCTTTCATAGTTGTCACAGCGTGTAGATGCTTTGGGCTCTGTGAGCAGCACTGAAACCCATGAACTAACATCTTAAAGATAAACAATATTCAGAAGAGCAACCCCCACGCCATGGTGTGCAAGGCTATAGGAAGGGTATGGCTCCTGGTCTTGGAATGATGATGTCTGCATAATAATTTCAATTCAGTATTTGAAAACAGGTGTGCGGAAATATTTTTGAGAAATTTCAAAACTTGGTTGTAGTTTGTAGCCCCAAAATGACTGTCATGGAGAACTTTGAGCCAAAAAAGCTTGCTTGTATAGACCCTCATTTCCATGTGATCACAAGTTTTGGTCAGTTCTCCTAGGATCTCATAGCCCTTCTCTCTTTCTCATCTGCTCACAGATTCTGTTTTTGTAACTTACTCGGACTGAATGTTTGGATTGTGCTTCTGTGCAGTGTACACATCTTTTTTAGACCCATTACACGTTGTATATGCTGCTGTCTGTATCTTTGGCTGAGTTTGCTTTAGTATTGCAGAGGGAGCTTGTGGTCAGCTCTATGCTCAGTTTGATGTTTCAAAGTTGCCAACTCTAGAATTCTATGCAGAATTCTAGTTAGCAATTCTAGAATTCAGTTGCTTAACTGCTGAGTTCAGGTTTCACAGACTTAAACTTAAAGGCATTATTTCGATTGTATGAGAACTTTGTCATGCACATCTGAAAATGCGTGTGAATGCAGGCTTCTAAAGCTGCATTGAAATTAAAAATGAGTTTGTTTTTCTGAGTTCTGCCTAAGGAATTAATTTTATTTTCGTGATGTTATGTCTGTGTTTAGAAAAGCCTTGTATCTGTCTGGTCAGCCATTCATTGGTGGATAAAATTGCATTAGAAGTGGTTTAATTTGTGTTTGTCCAGTGCACAATTTCAAATGCTACTTATTGACTCTGTACGGCCAGTTGTAGGTAGCTTGTTATGTACTATTTATATGATACAGCTATGGGAGCTTACATGTACAGACTTGGAGAAAGTACAAGGAAAGATATGTGGAGGAAGAAGGGGCATAGCATTTAATAGCACGTAGACCTACAGTTTCGTAAGTCATCTGTCTTACTGTTTGAGTTTTCTTGAGTATTGTAAAGAATCTTCTGTCTATTATAGTTTATTTTGATAATTAGGTAGACTTATAAACAGGACATTTCTGCTGTAAAAGAAAACTTTTAAAACTTGAGATTACAATCTGATATATCAGAGTGCTATGTGTTATGATTGATTCAGTGAATTTTTTTTTCATTAAACTATGTATAAATATTTCAAAACTAAGGCCTTTCCCAACTGTTCAATATAACAGTGACAATATTTATGACTGGGTGTACTTTGTAAACGTACACCATTTGTGTTAATTAAGCATCGAATAGAATGTTAGATGTATAGTCATGTAACTGCCATGTTGTGAAGGATAGATTATGCATTGTTTTCAAGCAGAGGTTTTCATAGCACAAAATCATTTACCTTATTACTCGTATGCATCTATTAAAGATACGCAATCATATGAGTAAACAAAGTTTATTCCATTCTCTGATGTGCTTAGTAACTGTCTAATGAGAGCTTAGAATGACTTCATAGCTTTAAAGTATGAACTCACTTCTCCCTTTCTGCCCCCAGCTTTTTTTTTTCTTGCTTTTGAACATCCCAAGAACTGCATGCCCACCTCTAGGATGAGAAACCAAGTAGCTGAGATCATGAGAAAAATCTTTTTATGGGGTTATGTGCAGCTAACCCAAACAGCATCTTATCTCTCTCAGTCCAGGAGACTCTCATCTACCCTTTTCTGTACTAGTGTAAATTTTCTCTTGTGCCCACAGTGTGCCTGCATGCCTGAGCAATAGCTGAGTGAGCTATTTCTGGGCTGAACTCTCCAGATGATTTGTCTCCACATCAGAATCTGTCTTCCACCAGAAGCTGCCGCACTCTTTGTCTGCTCAGTTAGTTACTGGCAGTGTCCTGCGCATAGAACACTTCATGCTTGGTTTTGGTTGCTTTTTCGTCTTGGTACCTTTCTGTACTTTTTATACCAAAGGGCTTTTTCTTCCTCTACTCAGCACTACTTGTTTGCTTTGTCTGAACGCTGTCCTGTACCACCCAGACTACTTCCATCATTCTTCTCAGTTGAAAGAACAGCTTTCTACCATCTGTGCCAAAATTCTTAGCTACTATTCTGTCTGAATTATTAAAATGGGAAGCACAGTTTTTTCAGATTGGTTATGATTACAAGACTTTGCAGTGTTCATCCTTGTTTAGGTCTCCAGGGAGGACACTTGATTGATAGCTGTTTACATCTTCATCTCTCATCTTGCAGAGACTTTAAAGAAGCACCCAGCAGCAATTAGCTTTTGAGCACCTGCACATCTGCAGATAAGTGTCCTCAAATTCATGGCATCTCCAAGACATCATAAATCCTGATGGTTTTGTGTTAATAGTCATGAGTCAACCAAAGAATGATGACTATGTCCCCTATGCAAATAAAAGGACACCAAAAGCTATTTGCTGACTGTATCAGATAATAAATAAAATCGCAGGTTGGGGAGAATATATGAGCACCACATATGTCAGCAAATTATAGAGTGGAGAGTGACTGTGACAGTTGCTTGGCTCTCCGAGTAGCATTTGACTCAGGGGATATGGAAACTGGATCTGACATTACACAGTGTGATGATTCAGGAATCAGATATTCTTGAAGCAGATCACTTTGTATCAAAAACATCTGCTACAGATCTGCAGACCTGAGAGCTTGTCTCTGTGCACTTTTCATTCAGGAGGAAGGAACACTGTAGAAGTTTATGTCTCCTCCAAAAAAAAAAAAGTCACAGCAGATTTATTCAATCAGTCTGCCTGAAAACAAGAACATTCCCATCACTGTAAATCTTACTCTAACAACCTTTCACATAATTTCTTGAGACAAAGGCTTTGTTTTGAACTAGCAGTATCCTAAGAGCACGGTGTGAACCTCTGTATCTTTTCCTGACTTTAAAAACACTTCTTAAAATTGCATTCAAATCTCACATTGAATCTTGTGCACCAGAACAAAATTATTGCCAATTCTCTTCCCCTGTGTATTCTTGAAGATATATTACCCCCTATTTTTAAACATATGGTTGTTGTTGGTGTTATCCTGTCTTTCATGAGGAACTTACTAGCTGTAGGGAACTAGGTGGTTGAAAGATAATCAGATACTTCAAAAAAAGGACACAGCTCATTCCATATTATTGTAAAAAAGTTTTTACATTAAATGAAAGCATTCTGTGTTTTCATTAATTACCCTTATTTTGAAAAACAAGAACTCCAGAAAAGCAGAATATTCTATTAGAGTCTACTTGTACATTTGAGGTTGTAGCAAAACTCCATGT